TTACTACAGCTTACTATAGCTTACTGCAGTTTACTACAGCTTACTACAGCTTACTAGTTTACTACAGCTTACTACAGCTTACTGCAGTTTACTACAGCTTACTAGTTTACTACAGCTTACTATAGCTTACTGCAGTTTCCTATAGCTTACTGCAGTTTCCTACAGCTTACTATAGCTTAATGCAGCTTACTACAGCTTACTGCAGTTTACTACATTTTACTGCAGTCTACTACATTTTACTGCAGTTTACTACATTTTACTGCAGTTTACTACAGTTTAATATAGCTTACTACAGTTTACTACAACTTACTAGTTTACTACAGCTTACTGCAGTTTACTACAGCTTACTGCAGTTTACTATAGCTTACTGCAGTTTACTATAGCTTACTGCAGTTTACTACAGCTTACTATAGCTTACTGCAATTTACTACAGTTTACTATAGCTTACTGCAGTTTACTATAGCTTACTGCAGTTTACTACAGCTTACTGCAGTTTACTACAGCCTGGAGCTCAGAAAGAAACTAGAGATATACAAGACTGAGGGATGGATGATTTAAGAGACTGATGATTTGCTGACTGGATGAAAAGTTGGATGGACGATTCGTTGGATGACTAGTTGGATGGATGGACAGACAGATGGATGGATGATTTAACTAAATTCATCCAACTAAATTATTAGTTGGATGAAAAAGTCCAAGAGAGAGCGTCTGGACCTCCAGGTATCCTGGTGAACAGATGCTTCTCTAACCATAAAGAAGGTAATGTTGGGCAGTTTAAGACTTTTACACAGGTCCACATCCTGGATCAGTGGAGTCTGATGAAGGCAGAGCTGGACCTTCACACGGCTCCTCAGAAGAAACACAAATCCTTTAGCTTCATGCGGCTCAGCCACAGAGACTTACCTGGACTGCACACCTGGAAGAGACACAACAAGAGACAAGCCCAACCCCCTTCCCGCATCATCATGCATGCAGCAACCCCCCCACCACAGAAAGGCGGCACGCCAGGGAAGGTGGAATACCATAACAACACGTCGGCCATATTGTTACACTATTCCACCCACCTTAACTGTGAACCCTTGGGCGTAGCGACGCCGTAACCCTTGGAGTCCAGGTTCCCGCCCACTTTCATGGTGTCGCAGGGCTTCCTCTGCTCCGTGTACTCGTTCATGGTGGACTCCAGCAGGAAGGCGTACTTCCCCTTCGACTTGCGGACCCGCGCCACGCCCTCCGCCGTGGTCTTGGTGAACACCGTGGGCTCGGCCGACTTCATGTAGCCCCACATCTTCTCGTAGACGGCGATCTTGGAGCGCTGCGGGGAGTCAGCAGGGTTCAGGAGAAACACACCTCCAGAAGTATTTACCCCTAGGGGTCCAACACGCACGCACACGCGCACGCACGCACGCACACACACACACACCTCCAGAAATATTTACCCTCAGGGGTCCAACAGACCAACACAAAGCAGAAGTATTCACTGCCTTTATTGATTTGATAAAATAAAAATCTCCATTGTCTTTTGGCCTCCATTTTGTAACTACTTGGAATGTTCCGATGTTGCCATGGAGACTGTACTGGAACGTATGCACATGTGGAAAAGCACCAAACCAAAATGAAGAGATTCAGCCGGTCCAAGCATTTGAACTTGTTTTGGTTTTATCGAGTGGCGGGCAGACTGAACAGAGTCATGAGCTTCAGGACCAACTAAAAGAAAATATGTGGACACTCCAGACCAATGTGTGATAGAAAGATACATGAACAAAATCGCTGCTGTCCGGATCGACCCATACAAGAGATAATGGATCTCTGATCTCATTTTTTCTCCCATTCACTTGGATTCCTAAAGTTGATTTTTGACCAGCCAATCAGCGATCAGAAGGAAAAGTCGTAAACTATGGCGTTGACTTTCTGTGATGTTTTAGAACTGAAGTCCGCCTGCAGTTTTAGCAATAGCAGTGGAGGAAGTGAACATCTGTGTTTGCCACGCTCCCACGTACTGAATAGCATTAACAGCTACCTTGTTTGGCATGGCTCTTCTGTCTTATTAATTTATTTAAGTTTGAAACGCTAGCAGAAATGCTCTGCTTGTTGATGCCTCTCTTCCATCATCTCGCCTGCCTTACGGTGCAGGCGACATGATTATCCGACGCGGTGAGGAACTGTACATTCAAATGATTCTTCTCTAAATAACTACAAAGGCTGTCAGATGGCTAAAACAACAATAAATGGAAATTAAAACGTTTCCATCCACAGAAGAGGCTGTCTGCAGAGAGGTGGCGCTCTCTCTGTGCCTACCTGCCTGCCACACTTTTCAGATACTGTATCATTTCTTGGTGTTTGTGTTGGTCTGCCTTCCTTCTGGGTCGCAAAGAGACAAAGACTTTCAAAGGCAAAAAACAGAAAATCAGTTGGCAAAAAATAGACTTGATGTGTTCTCCTACCTTCCCTGGGGTTGACCTTTGACCCCTACTCACCCTGAAGAACTCCTTGGTGGAGCCGGAGTCCAGCGTGCCGTAGGCGATGTCGGTCTGCTTGGCCAGATCCTCGGCGCTCTCGATGGGCGAAACCATCCGCTCCACGGTGAGGAAGGCCGCCAGGTTGGCCGTGTAGGACGAGATGATGATGAGGGTGAAGAACCACCAGACTCCGCCCACGATCCGGCCAGACAGCGATCTGTAGGGGGCGCCGCAGACGAAAACCAGAGGGCAAGACAGGAGAGAGACGAATCAGTCAGAACGGAGCGAGAATGAAGAAATAATAATAATTAAAAAAAAAAACAAGCATAAAGCCTCTATAATACGATAATATTTATACTGAGGGATAATTAACAGATCGATTTTCAATCAGGTTCAATTCCAAAGAGTTCAGGATGTACAAACATGTCTTCACTGAGGATCTGTACAACTGTTTATAGTTTTACACTGACGTCTGTTATCAGTGACTGAACACAAAACGGAGCAGAGCGAGTTTCATCATGTAGCAAACACAAAGAAAACCTGTTCCCATGTCGCCTAGGAAGGAGTTTCAGCGAGGAGGAAGAACAATAAAAATATGGAAAAAATAAAAAATATCAATCCCAAAAATGTTTTGTTTTCAAATATAAAATATAAATTAAAATAATTGATTCTGAAGCTCATTTTCTGATCGACTGCCAGTCAAATTCATCAAGCTGCTTTACTGCTCTTGCTAACTGTACCGCAGGGAATCAGAGCCTCTCTGCTCCATGGTAACACCTGAAGCATGGCAGCTGAGCCACCACCAGGGGGAGCTGTGTCTCTGTGTTCAGCCCTCCGCAGGGCATCAAACCCTCCATGTTCCCACTGATGGAGGCGATTCTGTTTCTGACCGCAGGAAAAGCACTGCAGCTCCTCTTCCTCCTCTGGGGGGGCAGACGGATCAGAGCAGCGAGTGAGGAGAACGTCAAAGCAGGAACGCTGCATGGAGGAGAACAAGCAGCAGGGGGCGCTCACAGCACACAGTTCAGGAAAACATTCCCCATTAAAGATCTGCTGCGGTGGAACATGTTGGGAACTTTAGCCTTGAAATGGACTTATTGATGTTTCAGCTCCAACCTGAATACCGATGAGTCTCTGCTCCATCTGTTTCTGGGGATTCCACTCAGTTTAGCAGGAAAATGTCGACAAAGAGTGAGGCGGTGCTGACAGGGTGCATTGTGGTAAAAATAAGGTTAAAATCATTAGAATGTAAATGCAGCCAGAGAAAGGCAATACTTACAATCTGGGCTTAATGAACTGATTCAGACTTTAAAGCTGCAGAATGTAATTTTTGGTAAAATATTTGATAAAACAGCCAATCAAAGTAAAGAGGCAGGTCGTATCGCTGTCAAACTCATGTATGCACTGCTAAATGTGCTAATAGAGAAACAACTTACAGTTACAGAAAAGCACCTTGTCCGACTTCATTGGCAGCAATACTAACTACCTTCAGCGTTGACTGTAGGCTGTGCTAGCTGCAGCGTAGCAGAGAGCAAGGAGGAGGATGTGAGCAGCCAACATGGAGGGTGATTGACAGCACTAAGCCCCGCCTCCTGGCTCTGATTGGTTGTTTCTAATTGGAACAGGGAGGAGGCAGAGATTGATTTTTCACAGATCATTCCTCATAAACTGTCACAACATGGTAAATATGTAAAAAATATATATATTTTTATAAAGTTACACTCTGCAGAAGAAGTTGGTTCACTGACAGTTGTTCCTCTCCACTGTCGCCTCTCAGGATGTGGTTTTATTCTGCTGTAATCTGGATTAAACTGGGATGATTTCTCTGAATTGGCTTCATTGCTTGATGAATTGGTGACATAAACAAACTGAACTGACTTAATTAGAAAGAGGAGAGTCGTCATGTTTTCTGTCTCTGCTGCTTTATTCAAACTGGACCAGAGGAGCAGAGTGTTTCCCATGATGCACTGCTGCATGTTAGCTGGCTGGTAGCTCTGACTGTGATCCGCAGTGACACGCCGCTGCGTCCCGATGCGCCTGAAGTAAACAGTCGGTGGAGGAAACCTCAGCGAGTTATTTCCAGGCTGCATCACTGCTTTGCTTCTTCATTTCACTGAAACTTTGTTGGTTCCAGATATTAATCTTCACAAAATGCTGAAGAAATATTTTGAAATTAGACAATAGATATACCTTAAAAATGAGTCTTTATACATCCCTCATTTTTAAAATTTTACTTTCAAGCAGCCAAACTCTCTTTAGTCCTTTCAGACTGGTTGGATTTTCTTTGGACTTTCGATGCTTAACACTTATTTTTGAGTCCACTAACTCATTATTAACGGTTTTAAACAGAAACACAAAAGATTCAGTTTCTTCCTGTTTTCAGCTGATTGTTTGAAAAGTACCAAAGATGCAAACAAAATGGGATCTTTGCATTTTATCTGCTCTTCTTTAGGAATGATTTCTGTCCTCCACTTATTCATTTTCCTCTATTTACTCAAATTTTTAATCAAGTTAAATCTAAACGAGTTGCTGCTGGCTCAACGATTACTTTCACACATAAGAATGGCTGCAAACAGATGCAGCATCTATACAACCGCACATCTTTGAAAAGGAGAAATGGAGCCTCCTGCACAACCAACCAGAATGTAGCAAGTGATTTCAGGATGGTAAGTCAACAACAAAACATGTCTCTTTTCCAGCAGCCATTGTACAGCGCATACAGCAGTAAAACCAGCTCACCAAACATGCTAGAGCTCAGCTTGAGTTGCTAGGTAACGAGCGGCGTTCCACTAGGGTTGCTAGGTAACGGGCAGCATCTGCTGATTTGTGATGTTACACTCTGGAGGTTTTTGAAACGGCTCATTTTCCAAACACCAAAAACATAGAAATATAGATTTTTTAAAAGCCTGGAGTGTTATTAGAAGCATAAAGTTTAAAAATGTACAAAATGTGAATTTTGCGCATTAGATCTGCTTTGAACTATTTAAAAGGAGCAGAAAAAATTGACATAATACTTTCAATTTTTTGTACTAAAAGGTTTGTCAGACATTTCACAAGCTGGTTTCCAGATATGGTTTCAGTGCAGAATGAAAGTCAGTTTTCATGAGGAAGCAGAAGAAAGCTCCATCTCTCTCTGATGCTGAGCTGAAACCTGAATGTCAGGATGTATGAGGCGAGTTTTCCCTGAGCGCTGGAAACAAGAAAACCCAGACAGGAGAGTATGAGATGAAATAAAGTGGAAACTAAACAGAAATTGGCTTCAGAGTTGCTGCACCGCAGCCCGCTGAGCCTCAGGGAGAACACAAAACTCAATATTGGCCAAAAAAAAGAGACACTTTCAGCAATTAGTTGGTGGTTTTCCACCATTAGTGGAAGTTAAACTCGTTTGTATTCATTAAATAGGAGAGAAGCGCCGCTTTATACTCGGTTCCTCCACATTTTAAACGGCCAAATTCCAGATTTCACAGATATTTCTAGTGCAGAGCTAAATGTCGACTTTGATGAAAGTATGACTTTGAAAAATGAATTCCAGAGCTAAATAGGACAAAATATTGTTAATTTTTTTTAACTTTATTAATGGCCCTGGTGCTAAATTATGACTGTTGGTGATTAATAATAAACCCCAATCAAAGAAGAACAACCATAATCAATAAACCTCAGAAAAATTGTGATGTCTGCTGCCGCCCCCTGCTGGTCAGGTGAACAACGACTCAATAAAGTTTAAAAATGTACAAAATGTGAATTTTGCGCATTAGATCTGCTTTAAACTATTTAAAAGGAGCAGAAAAAAATTGACATAATACTTTCAATTTTTTGTACTAAAAGGTTTGTCAGACATTTCACAAGCTGGTTGTGAAATGTCTGAGTTTTCTGACTCAGGGATTCCTGAGTCAGAAAACTGTTAAACTAATTATAAACTGAGTTTAAAAATTAAACATAAAACTGTTCAAATGATCGTATAATCATATAATTACTGCTGGATATAATAAATAACTATATTTTTGTTGATGTTTCTGTTATTGATGCTCGTTTTATTTTTGGTGAAATTTAAAAAAATAATGATTGTTCCTCTACTGTAGATAAAATTAAATATATACTATATTCATACGTTAACTAGTTGTAATATTCATGGATTATACATGTCATAAATGTAAAATTAAGTAAAAATATCAGGAGCAGGAGTATTGATAAGTTTATACACGCTCCCTTAATATGGAAAAAGTTTTGAAATTTTTTCTACACTAAAATTATATTTTAAGGAAAATGCAGTTTGGGAATCTGACATGGCAAACTAGCTGACATGCTATTAGCTGGATCCAGGGAAATCATGGATATTAAGCTTCTGCATTAGCGCTAGCCTGGTTTCCACTGAGCCTACTCATTCTTATTAAGGTATATTTGTGGTTTTAACTAATAAAATAGGAAGTTTTCGCATTTTCAGTGAGATTCTGACACATTTTCTGGCAGTGCGGTGAACACAGGGGTCAGGAGTAATTGATGTTCTGAATTTTGAAACATTAAAGTTGTTGATGTTTCATCTGGATTTGAGTGATGTGTGTGAATATTTCCACACGTCGCTGTGCTTTCTGAGAGCAAACATCCCAGCTTCAAAGCCCTGCTGGAACAATCAGCATATAGATTATACGGCAAATGAAATGCTTTTCTTCTTTCCATCTGCAGCCGTAAAAACGAATCATATGATGGGAAAATCAGACGGAGGAACTTCAGAGATCATAATCAGGATGAAAGATCCCCTCAGGATCATTAATACGCCATAATCTGCTTTATTATCAGTGACTGGTTAGCACAACAACCTAAAGGGTCTATAGTTTTTATTTAATAAAATCTGTCGCTACAAAACACAGATTACTGATCCGTTGCACCTTTATTACTTTAAACTTCTGGATTTAGGAATAAACGGCTAACTTTTCAGATAAAAAAATGGAATACAATTGCAAAAAAATCTGGACTTTATTCACAGACTGAGGAGAAAATTATAATTACCGCCTCTTAGCTGGTAATATTATATAGATGAATATGTTGCTAATATTCCAAAAGACTGTGTATTTGACAAAGACATGAAAGACTTCCTCCAATGTCTTTCCTGAGCGCCTGCTCCCAGATTATTTGGTGTTCGATGCCTCCTAGTGGTCTGGAGGACTTCCAGTTTGCAGCGTTTCATACCTGCTTTTACTTTTGCATTTTTTGATTTTCTTT